TGCAGATCATGTGTTGTTTTCTCTTGCCTTTTTTGACCTTCCCCTCTGAATGCTGTGAATTGACACAATCTCCAAATTTTATAGCCATAGATTCCACAAATTAGCTATGTATAACACATAAAGATACACCTTTCTTTTATCAGTTCTAAATCTTGCATTTAGATTTAAAAGATGACCCCATATTATCATTGTGAGGAAGGAGAAAAAGTTATATCTGCATTTTCCATATTGTGCATAATTTTTCTATACTGTATAGCTCTATAAGGTGTCTCCTTTCATGCCAAGCTAAAAAGCTTCAGGCATTGTTGCCTTTCTTCCTATGGAAGTTGTGGTAGACCCTAAATAATTTAGCTGCATTTCGTTCCGCTTTTTTATCACTACACTTTTTTTTAAAGATGTGGCAACCAGAATTGCACATGATGAGACAAGTATAGCCCCATCATAAATGATAAAAGGGCTTTATTATATTGCTGATTTATTTTTAGTCCTTGTGCTACCAAACATGGAATTTGGACCCCCTACTTTTTTTAAAATGTATCCTCTCCAACTGCATCCCAAATGGCTCAACTTTGCCTAAGCCCCAATACTCTGATCCAGTGTTCCTCAACCTGGCCTGGGGAATACTGGAAGTTGAAGTCCTTGCCAAGTTGAGAAATAGTGCTCTGGTTAAAGTCATGAGATCCAAATTATTGAAAATAATTGCAAGACAGACATGACTTTAAGAATCTGGCAGTACTTTTCACTCATGACCAGACCAGAATTCATTTATAAATGGGCAAAACAGAAAAACAAAATTTTGAGTTCTATTTTTATATACCAGCACTACTCAGGTGACCCCGAGGACACAGATAAACCTCCAAGTGCTTAAACAACCCCCTAAAAGGATGCAAATGACCAGCTGTCTTCTAGGAATATAAAGACACTTCTTAGATGAGAAGCAAAACATCTTCAAAGAAAAAACAAAGTCCAATTACTTCTGTATTTGCTCCATTAAAGAGAATCGCTCCTCAAAATCCACTTGCTTCCCTCACATTTCTTTGAAAGCTGTTCCTTAATCAATGGAATGTATTCAATTCCCTCTAGATTCTTCATTGTTGAAGATTTTTGTGTAACGCTAACGCTAACTACTGAATTCCAAATGATAGTTCATGTCATTGTATGTCATAAGCCTAAAATATTCTACATTGAATTGATAATTTTATTTTTGGGCTAATAGAACACCTGAATGATTAATGTGCTAACCATTCATGATTAATGATTCAAGATCCCAATGGAACTGGAACCATAAGGGTCTCTAGTTTGGAGTACTTACTTGGCTGTATTTTGTGATATTTTGTCAAGTGTGGAAATCAGGAGTCCAGACAGTTCAAATGAATATATAGGTTTATGCAAATTTAAACTCTCTACTAGAATCTGAACTACTAACAATAAAACCAAATTGGCAGTAGGTAAGAGTCAACAGAATTCAAGGTGAACTAGATTTAGATCTCTTGTGGGCATGCAGAAACTCAAGACTGAAAATGGGTTTGACCCTTCCATGAGGTTCAGTCTGGTCATCTCCTACACACTTTCTATCATTTCAGAACCAGTAATTTATATGTATTTACAGCTATATATGAGCATAATGCATATGGGATCAAATCCTGTAGAATTTTTTGGCTGGGGCTCTCAGAATTTTTCAGAACAGCTGAAAGGCACCAAGTTACCTATCTCAATTACTTTCCTCCTATCCAGGAGATCTATCTTATGAAATCCTGATAGTGCCATTTAGCAATTAACTCACCTTCTGGCCTTGCTTTGGCCATGATGGGGTGAACATATGAGCAAGTCCTGCAAGTTCTGTTGCTTCCTCCTTTTGTTTCCTTTTCCCAAGTGTAGAGGATGTCAGAACTGGAAAAAGCCTTCCGCAAATTTGCGGTGTATGGAGACACAGCTGCCACAGGCAATGACATGACAGGCAAGAACTTCTCCAAGATGTTGAAGGAATGTGGTGTAATGGATGGCAAAGCAGTGACCAGCACTGATGTGGACATTGTCTTCAATAAAGTCAAGTGAGCTGAAGGGTTGATGTGTGTATATATTTGTGGACAGGCATCCAACCACGACGCTAATGTGTAAATAATGATTACTGCCACATTGCTCTTCTTTTTAAATTGTGAGCCAGATAATTTTGTTTCAGTCAAGGCATATTTTCATGTCCCTTCACTGTCAGAGATGCCTTGGTAGCCATTTCTTAAGGACATGTCCACAATGCAGGGTCTGTTCCTCACCCCCAGCCTATAGTTGAGGCCACGTAAATTCATTTATTTGATCCAATATTAAAGTGATACGTACCTCTTTTCCCCATATAAACCTTCATAAATATACAATCTAGGTGGCTTTAAAATGACCAGGGTGTGTGTGTGACATGAAGGTAACTAGGATCTTGCCAATATGAATTGGGAGAAGCCATGTTTGTAATCATAAAAAGCTGAAGGCAGATCTACTCAGGAAGCAAAATAATGCAAGATAATGTGGTATCCCAATTCGATAGAATTGTGTAGAAGTATAATGGTATGTGGGAATGACCTTGGGATACAAGAGGAAGGCCCACAACCTAGGCAACAGGGTAATAAGGCAGGTGAGTGGTTTGTAGGTGGGGGGAAAATGCATGAGAAGCATTTTGAATGGGAATGTCCCTTGTTTTCTGGAGACTAAAAAAAGAAGGGAGAATAGAATAGAATAACAGAGTTGAAAGGGATCTTTGAGGTCTTCTAGTCCAGCCCCTTGCTTAGGCAGGAAACCCTATACCATTTCAGACAAATGGTTATCCAATATCTTCTTAAAAACTTCCAATGTTGGAGCATTTACAACTTCTGGAGGCAGGTTGTTCCATTGATTAATTGTTCTAACAATCAGAAAATTTCTCCTTAGTTCTAGATTGCTTCTCTCCTTGATTAGTTTCCATCCATTGCTTCTTGTCCTGTCCTCAGGTGCTTTAGCTTGACTCCCTCTTCTTTGTGGCACCCCCTGAGATATTGGAACACTGCTATCATGTCATCAAACTAGTCATACCCAATTTCAGCAATGTTCTTTATATGTTTTATCCTCCAGTCCCCTAATTATCTTTGTTGCTCTTCTCTGCACTTTCTAGAGTCTCAACATCTTTTTTTACATCGTGGTGCCCAAAATTAGATGCAGTAATCCAAGTGTGGCCTTACCAAGGCCTTATAAAGTGGTATTAACACTTCACCTGATCTTGATTTTATCTCTGCTTATGCAGCCTAGAACTGTGTTGGCTTGTTTGGCTGTTGCTGCTGGCTCATATTTAAATGATTGTCCACTAGGACTCCAAGATCCCTCTCACAGTTACTACTATTGAGCAAGGTACCATATACCTGTGGATTTTGTTTTTCTTGCCTAAATGGAGAACCTTACTTTTTTCAAATGATTTCATTTTTGCAAGATTGTGTTAATGTAACCTTACAATAAATTAGGATCAGTTCATCCCTGTACATCTTGTCTGGATTACATCACAAATCTGACACCAATTTTCCAAGACTAAGTATTTCATCGTCCTTCCTTTGTTTAGTCTCTTTTATTTAGGTTGCAGATCTCCCTCCTGTCTTCCAAGGTCATTTTAACCATTACAGGAAGGTATCACTGTCCTCCTTTAACTGGCTGCTTAAAAAGAACATGCAAATAGAAACCTACTGTAAAGAATGTTACAGAAAAGTAACATCAGAACTAGAAATTACTTTCCTGGCATGCCATCTTCTGTTTGTAAATAATTCTGCCCCCCCACTATGTTTTATTAATTGGACAATTATTCTCCCCCATTATGTTTGATTAATAGCATAATTGTCTTGAAATGATTGTTTATAATACTATCTTCTTTGTAAATTCTTGGATGCCTTGTTCACGGTTTGTCTTGTACTGAGGGTCAGAGTTGATGTGTTGGTGTATTCCCAGGGCTAAGACTGCTCGCAACATCACATATTCAGAGTTCCAAGAAGCAATAAAAGAGCTGAGTGTTAAACGCTTCAAAGGAAAGTCCGCAGAGGAGGCTTTGCAGGCCACTCACCAGTTGATGGAGGGCAAAGAACCAGGCAATGTAGGAGCGACGGTGAGTGAAGAGCTCCCCATACGTGAGGGATGCAGCCAATCAATGATGGTGCCAGGGATACCTGAGCAAGACATATTCAGATACACTACATTCTTTAACTGTAATCCCTCTACCCAATTTGTTTTTGTTTATTATTTAATTTAATTTATATGGCTGCCCATCATGCCCTGCTGATTTCTCCCCGTATTTCTTGCTCTTCCTTTCTTCCTACTGTAATCACTTTCCTGACCAACTTGCTTTCAAAGGTTGTGGTGCTCCATCATTTATTGAAGGCTTTTAAGAAGAGACTGGTCAGCCACTTGTCTGGAATGGTATAGGGTCTCCTGCTTGAGTAGAGGGTTGATCTAGAAGAAGTCCAAAGTCTCTTCCAACTCTGTTATTCTCTTATTTCTTCTTCTAATTCTTTTTGATGACTAAGCTACTGATCATATCATATAGCTGCAGGGAAGGCCTCTTATAGATTGCAAGCTTGTGATCATCATTAGTAACATTGCTATAGCCAATTATTTGTGGCTCACCAAACAGCATTGAAACAAAACCAGTGAATTCTTTTTTGGAAAAAATCCACATGATACTCAGAAGAAACCACATTACCTCTCATCCAGGGCATGTCACTGATTTTACTCTGCACCTTCAGCTATTACTGAAGTGACAAGAAACCACATTCTATCCTCTCTCCCTCCCCTTTCCCTCCTATCTCCCCCCCTCCAGAAAAGCACAGTGTTAGGAACAGTTAACATGCTGGCAGAACCCCTAAAAAAGCCCATAATCTAGAATGATTCACCCAATATGGGTCTTCTTGGCGTGAATAAAGCCTACACATCCCATTTGTTGCTTCTCCCTCTAGTTCGTTTGTACTGGCCTGTGAATTTCCCATGTGTTAGAATCAGCTTAACTTCAGCTCATCTTCCCTTCCCCAAACCCCATCAACAGTCGGCAGCTGACACTTTGCAAAATTGTCTTGCAGAAAACTGTTGCAGCTGGTGCAGTAGACAGACTGACGGACACCAGCAAATACACGGGTTCTCACAAGGAACGCTTTGATGAAAGTGGCAAAGGCAAAGGGATTGCTGGGCGTGCAGAGTTGACTGACAACAGCGGCTATGTTGGGGCTTATAAGGGAGGTGGAACTTACGATAAGACCCACTAAATCAGGAGTGGGGCCTCCTGCCTGTCCTCCTTGGCCTTGGAAGGAGATGTCAATAAACACCTGCTCTTAAATTATTGTGTTTAGTGTTTGTGAGACTATAAGTGATTGGTATCTAAATGAGGAAAAGGTTAGAATTGTTCCCTTGTTTTGGAAGATCCTTCATTATCTACCACGTCTTACTCAACAAGGCATAGAAAAAATATGTCATCATTTTAATACTTGTGCCCCATTTCCTTTCATTGCCGTAATCAAAGACACAAATGTTTCTTCATACTGACTTTGAATGTTCTTTTGTTACAGATTCTCATTTAGATCTCTACTAAAAAGCTTAATGATAAAAAATTAACTTGCATCATTCACTTGCAAAACTTATGTCTGAGCTGTCAAATTGACCTACGGGTTATCAAAAGATGCTTATTCTAGGTATGAAGATGTTAGGTCCTTAAACTTCAATCATGTTTGCTTCTCTATATGTATGCATAAGGTTCAAACCTTTGGGCTACGAATCCTCCACTTAATGCCATCATCTATATTAGCCAAAATCTGGAAGACAAAAACATATGGTTATTTTGAATTTCTTCATCAAAATTCTGGGGCCTGGACTTGAATTGGCTTGTACAGATAATGAAGCTTCATTTTTTAGACATCCTACTCCTTCTTCCATTGTGCTGATTGGATGCTCCGAATAGTGTAGGCTTGAGCCAGATCTATGACTAGGTCAGTTGCATCTTTGAGTCTTTTTCCTGTTCTTAGCCAGGAAATAGTAAAACGGTTAGCCCCAAACGGGAAAAATAGTATGGGATGTAAACATATGTATAATCTTTAGGGAATGCACAGAAGGAATAGCAGTGTCCCACGTGTAAACCTTTTTGAGTTCATGGAGGACTCTGGTTCTTGCTGCCAATGAACCAAAACTGCCAATATTACTGGATGATGTCCTAATTTAATTTTAGCCTGCAATTTATTGTAGATTATGTTTCTGCAAGGCAAGACATGAAGTGTAGAAGAGAAATGATCTGGGCTCATTTAGTATCCTTAAAAACATTCTGCCAATGCTTTTAAGTAGAGGCATGAATTTGTTTTATATGTTTATGTGATGCACATTATGCAACACATTAGTGCCCAAACTCCTAACTTCTCATACAAACTAATGGGAGCAGGAAGTGACAGATGTTGGAGCAGAAGTAGTCATTATCTTACAACTAAAATGGAGCCTACCCTTTATGGTCAGAGGTCTTGATGGCCGTTATGTGAAACGCTCAAGTGATTGTTCAGGACTGCCAAAAGGATGGCCATTCTGGAATCACATTGCATGACCCATTGACAAAGTATCTTGTTTTGCTTTCTTAATGTGAGTTTTACAGGGTTGGAAGAAAAATCCAGTTCCAAGCCGGGAGAAAGACACAGGAATTAATTAATTTGGAGACAGGCTGTAGGAAAGGTCTCCATTTATTTAGGAATCAAAAGCAAAGTGACTCAGCATCAGGTTCTGTGTCAGCTGTTCCAGAACCGATGCTGAGTCACTTTGCTTCTGATTCCTAAATAAATGGAGACCTCCTTTCCTGCAGGTTGCCTCCAAACTCATGCAGGCTCCTGCATATATCTCCCTGCTTGGAACCTGACTGGATTTTTCTTCCAACAACAGCATTCCATTGCAGAATGCTGCAGAGTTTGTGTTAAGAAAGCAAAGCTGCTTTTTTGCTGGCCATTTCTGAGGTCATCGCGATAGGGTGGGGGAAAAGACTTGAAGGGAATCTGTTTGTGTGTGTGTGTGTGTGTGTCTGTCTGTCTGTCTCTCTCTCTCTGTGTGTGCGTCTAATGGAGGATAGGCAGGGGGTGGGGAGAGGGTGCTGCAGCATCTCTGCAATTGATCCAGAGGTGATTTTAAGGCCACTTCTTTCCGGTTTGGGTTAACCAGTAGCGGCTTCTGTGGGAGCCTCTGTCCACCCGCCCCGAAGTAATGCGCAAGCATTGCTCATGTGCCGATCAGAGGTGGGTTGCTGCTGATTTGGCCCGGTTCAGCCAAACCGGTAATGGAATTCAGGCCTGGGTTGCAGAACTGGCAGCGACTCAGGCCTGCCATGTCCCCAAACCGGTTCCCTTGCCGCCGCTCAGCCACTGCCATTTTGGATTTTAGTGACTGCGCATGCGCACTTCACTGTAAATTGTTCAGTGCATGCATGAAGAACAATTTACATTGAACAGTGCACTCGTGGGTTGCAAACCGGTAGTAAAACCAGCAGCAACCACCCCTGGTGCAGATGTGACGAGTGTGAGCGCTCACATTTGCGAACCAGTAGGGAAGTTAAGCTGAATTGATCGTAAGGGTGAATGACTACAGGAACTTTGCAGCAATTGTAACTTTCAAGAAGGAACCACAGACCTACAAACTTTATTTATTTATTTATATGGTTGCCCATCTCAAGTGATTCTGGGAGAGTTTGGGAAAGGAGCCATGAAGTCTTGAAAAAGATACAGGTAATCCTCCAGATAAGAATGTCTAACTTAAGGGACAACCTTTGGATATGAATATGCTGCCTGTTAACTGAAAGAAGTGGTTGACATTGTCCTTAAGCGAATGAACTGTTGAAGCCATGCAATGTTTTATGAATCACTGAAGTCATATGTTCTTTTAATAAAAAGCCTATTGTTAGTGGTTTTCAGTAATTTATGAAAACACTGCATGGCTTCAGCGATTTGTCAACTTGGGGAAAGGCAATGCTGTCTGCCATTTTTAATAGCCCATTCTTATATATAAATTCTGACTTGCATACAGGTGGTCCTCAACTTACAACAGTTCATTTAGTGCATGTTCAAAGTTACAACATCACTGAAAAAAGTGACTTACGACTGTTTTTCACACTTATAACCATTGCTGCAACCCTATGATCACATGATCAAGATTTGGATGCTTGGCAACAGGTTCATATTTATGAAGGTTGTAGTGTCCCAGGATCATGCGATCTTCTGACAAGCAAAGTCAACGGGGAAGCCATTACTAATTTAACTACTGCGGGGCTTCACTTAACAATTGTGGCAAGAAAGATCATAAAATGGGACACAAAATTAACAACTATCTCACTTAGCAACATAATTTTTTGGCTTAATTGTGGTCTTACTTTGAGGACTATCTATGCAAATTCAAATTAAAGACAGAGTTAAGAATGGAACTTGTTCAAAACCCAAAAACTTCCTGTATTGAGATGCTGGGAAGTGTTTATATCTATCAAGTTCAGAATTGTGTGGGCAATGGTATTCCCCATGATGTTGATTCTTAAACTTTGGAGAAGACTTCTGAGTATATCATTAATATGAGCCAAGGTGGCGCAGTGGTTAAATGCAGCACTGCAGGCTACTGCTAGATCAGCAGTTCAGCGGTTCAAATCTCACCGGCTCAGGGTTGACTCAGCCTTCCATCCTTCCGAGGTGGGTAAAATGAGGACCCAGATTGTTGGGGGCAATATGCTGACTCTCTGTAAACGGCTTAGAGAGGGCTGAAAGCCCTATGAAGCGGTATATAAGTCTACTGCTATATTTAAGGAAACAAATGGATTATCAAACAAATCCAGAATTCCCACTCAAAGCCTAAATAACCAGGCTTGATCTGGAAAATAACTAGCTCTCTGGAGGAATCTCTAATGCTGGGAAAGGTGGAAGGAAAAAGAAGAAATTGACAACCAGGTCAAGCTGGCACTTACTCAATAAACATTCATACTACACAATTCCTTTAATGGCCAGCAGAGGGCAGTAGCCCATTACAAATTTCCATAGTTTATGTCCATCCTAAATTGCCTCCTCACTCCATAAGGAAGAGCTAGTACAGTTAGTATCCATCTAGTCCCGGGATGGCGAACCTATGGCACACATGCCACAGGTGGCAGATGGAGCCATTTGTCAGGGCACACAAGGCGTTGCCCTGTCAGCTGGCCAGCGTGCATATGCGCACTGGCAAGCTGAGTTCAACCTTTTTTAAGCTATTTTTTTAAGCCAAGTGACTTTTGGTTTGCTTGTAGAGCCGTTTTTAGTCCCCTGGCGTCCTCAGGGAAGATCCTGAAGCTTCCGGAGGGCCTCCAAGGGGGGGGGCTGTTTTCACCTTCCCCAGGCTCCTATAAAGCCTCTGAGCCTGGGAAGGGTGAAAAAAGCATGCAAAAATGGAGGGTTTGCGCCTGTCATGCACGCTGGGGGACCACGCATTGCATTATGGGTGCAGCACACCCACGCAGGACTCCCCTGCGCTCCCCCTGCTTATGGCACGTTAGCTAAAAAAGGTTCACCATCGCTGATCTAGTCAATATCCTTCATTACAGTGAGACTGCTAAGACACTTTTAATGTATTATTTTAGTATTGTAGTACATTAGCTCTTTACTACTGAAATAAAATGTTTTAGCAATAGCAGTAACACTTAGACATATATTGTTCGATAGTGTTTTGCAGCAATTTCTGAACAGTTTTAAATATCAGTGTATTATCCTCAACAATCTGGGTTCTCATTTTACTGACCCCAGAAGGATGGAAGACTGAATCAACCTTAAGCCCCATCAGGATTAAACTTCTGGCAGTGGGCAGAGTTAGCATGCAATACAGATAGTCCTTGACTTATAAAAGTTCATTTGGTGAACGTTTGAAATTACAAAGGCACTGAAAGAAGTGAGTTAGGACTATTTTTCACATTTATGACCATTTCAGCATCCCTGTAGTTAGGTGATTACATTTCAGACAATTGACTCACATTCAGACAACTGACTCACATTTATGACGGCTGCACTGTCCCGGGATCACGTGATCCCCTTTTACGATCCCGACAAGAAAAGTCAATGGGGAAGTCAGATTCACTTAACAACCGTGTTATTAATTTAACAATTGCAGTGATTCATTTAACAAAGGCAGCAATAAAAGTTGTAAAATGTGGCAAAACTCACTTAACAGATTTTCTTACTTAGCAACATAACTTTTGTGATCAGTTGTGGTCATATGTTGAGGACTGTACTGCATTCTAACC